ACTCTATCAAATAAATAAGTCTTTAAAAATAAAATTAAATCTTTAAAAAAAAAATCATCAATCAGAAGACTCAGGGTTGTCAAGGAGTCAATTCTCCCCAAACTGATGTATAGAGTCAATGCATCTCCATCAGAATTTCAAAAGGCCTCTAGCAGAAATTGATGAGCTCATTCTAAAATTTATATGGATATGCAAAAGACCTAGAACACTCAAAACAATTTTGAAAAAGAAGACAGATGGATGACTTAACACTATCTGATCTCAAGAGTTACTACATAGAGTAATTAAGAAAGTTTAGTATTGGTATAAAGGTAGATAATAGAGATGGACGGAAAAGAAGTTGGCGCACACTTACACAGTCGATTGTCTTTCAACAAAGGGTCCAAGATAATTCAGTGGAGAAAAGTTTTTAACAAACATGGCCAGAACAATCCCACATCCATATGCAAAACAGTTTTGTCCTTCACTTCACACCACACACAAAAATCACCTTTAAAAGGATTACTATTGGGGTGCCCGGGTGGCTCAGTGGTTTAAAGCCTTTGCTTTCGGCTTGGGTTGTGATTCCAGAGTCCTGGGATTGAGCCCCACGTGGGGCTCTCCGCTCTGTGGGGAGCCTGCTTCCCCTTCTATCTCTCTGCCTGCCTCTCTGCCTACTTGTGATCTCTGTCTGTCCAATAAATAAATAAAATCTTAAAAAAAAAAAGGATTACTATCTGAAATACACAAGCTAAAGCTGTAAAAACTCTTAGAAGAAAACAGAAGAAATTCATTGTAATAGTAGGCAAAGATTTCTTTCTTTCCTTTTTTTAAAAGATTTTATTTATTTATTTGACACACACAGAGAGAGAGAATACAAGCTGGAGGAGCAGCAGTGGGAAAGGGGGAAGCAGGCTCCCCACCGAGCAGGGAACCTGATGCAAGCCCTTGATCCCAGGACTCTGGGATCATGACCTGAGCCAAAGACAGAGGCTTAACCAACTGAACCCCTCAAGTGCCCCAAAGATGTCTTAAATAGGACACAAAAACACAAACCATAAATGAAAAAAAAAGATAAATTGTGTTTTGTCAAAGTTAAAAATTGTGTTCTTTGAAAGATACTGTTGGGGCGAAGATACTGTAAGTGGCCAAAAAGAATATGAAAAGATGCTTAATATTTTATTAATAATCAGGGGAATGCAAATTAAAATTACAGTGAGGGGGTGCCTGGGTGGCTCAGTTGTTGGGCTTCTGGCTCAGGTCCTGATCCGGGGTCCTGGGATTGAGCCCCACATCAGGCTCCCTCCTCAGCGGGAAGCCTGCTTCCCCGCTCCCACTCCCCCTGCTTGTGTGTCCCTCTCTTCCTGTGTCTCTCTCTGTCAAATAAATAAATAAAATCTTAAAAATAAATAAATATAAAATCACAGTGAGATATCACCACCTACCCATTAACATTAAAAAGATTGACAACATCATGTGTCGTCAAGGATCCACAACTCGAATGCTCATACGCTGCTGCTTGCAGGGGGGGATAAGATGAAAAATCACTATGAAAAGCAGCTGGGCAGTTTGTTACAATGGGAAACATGCACTTGCAATTTAACTAGCAATTCTGTTCCTAAATGTTTATCAGAAAAAAAGTGAAAACACATACCTTTACAAAGACTTCTATATGAACTTTCATCTTATTCATAATTAGCAAAACTTGAAACAAACCAAATGTTCTTAAGAGTTGACTGGATAAGCAAATTGCAGAATAGCCATACAACAAAATACTATTTGGCAATAAAGAAGAATACATACAGGGGCGCCTGCATGGCTCAATGGGTTAAAGCCTCTGCCTTCGGCTCAGGTCATGATCTCAGGGTCCTGGGATCGAGCCCTACATCAGGCTCCCTGTTCAGTGGGAAGCCTGCTTCTCCCTCTCCCCCTGCTTGTGTTCGCTCTCTCACTGTGTATCTCTCTGTCAAGTAAATAAATCTTAAAAAAAACAAAAAAAAAGACCATGACAAATTAAAAGTTGCCAGTGGTGGCAGCAAAAATGCTTTTGTAATACTGTGTATATTTTTTACATATTTTATTTGTCAGGAAGAGAGAGCGCACAAATGAGGTAGGGAGGCAGGCAGGAGGGAGAAGCAGGCTCCCCGCTGAGCAGGGAGCCTGCCATGGGACTCAGTTCAATGACCCAGGACTAGATCCCAGAACCCCTGGATCATGACCTGAGCTGAAAGTAGACATTTAACCAACTGAGCCACCCAGGCGTCCCAATACTGTATAAAAATATTTTTTACTGTATTTCTAACATTTGGCCTAACCCCAGAGATTTTAAATTTAAGAAATGTTTAAATTAAGAAATTAGGAAATGTATGGTTCTTGAGGGAAATGAAAATGTGTTTATTTGTGAAGGTGTAAGCAAATTTGTTTTCTTAGGTCAAAACATTTTTTTCATGTTGTTTTAACAATGCACCACACTTTTTTAAAACTTTTTATAAACCATCTGATCTTGGGTCCTACCCACAGAAATTCCCTGAATTCACGTCACGTGTCCATTCTCAGGCCACATAGCTTTCCCTCCTTTTTTCCACATCTGAAATGCCAGGTCCTCTGAAACCACCGTTTCATTACTATAACTAATGGAATGCCAAGCAGTCTCCTAAATTCCAGGCCAGTCTTGACGCTTACCATTCTTAAAGTCCTAGGTTTACATTAGGTCCCCTTTACTTTTGCCCCTTTGAGGACTCCAATTAGTCCACAGATATTTTGTCAGGATTTATATATTTTCTCCCTTTAGGGTGGCATTTAATCAATAGGGAAACCAGACTAAAGAATCTGGATGGATTCATAAAACTCATCATTGTTCATGGAAAAACAACTTGAAGCACAAGCTCTCTGGATAGTTTTCAATCAATCTGTGTCATAGTCAGAAAAGTTGTTTTTACCTATCACCAGCTGGGACTATTTGGAAAACACAGACTCTGAATGGGACCTCCCAGGAAAGGGGAGCTTGTGTGTGGGAAGTGAGGAGGAGTGAGATAGGATGGAGATGCCACCAGAAATATGTTCCTGTGGGGCGCCTGGGGGGCTCAGTGGGTTAAGCCTCTGCCTTTGGCTCAGGTCGTGATCTCAGAGTCCTGGGATAGAGCCCTCCCCCCACCCATAGCATCGGGCTCTCTGCTCTGCGGGGAGCCTGCTTCCCCCTCTCTCTCTGCCTGCTTCTCTGCCTACTTGTGATCTCTTTCTGTCAAATAAATAAATAAAATCTTAAAAAAAAAAAAAAAAGATTTATGCTCCTGAATGTGACTGGGGGAAGGTGCAAATTTAGAGCTAAAAAGGACCTTAGCGATCATCTAGTCCACTCTTTTTATCTTACAGACTAAGAAACAAAGGCTTGAAAAGTAAAACAGCAGTAGCCTGCAGACTAGACCCTAGGGCCCCCTGAAGCCTAGTTCAGTCTCCTTTCCACTGTACCACTTGCCTGTTTTTGAAAGTGATGTATTTAGAAAGCTAAAACAGACAAATTCAGGAAACAGGCTCTTCATAGATTTCAGGGTTTGGTGACATTAAGATTTTGCCAAAACACAAAAACTGCCTGAGCTGTAAAGGTATTTAAATATTTGCAGAAGCTAGTTTAACTAGGTCTAGTATTTCCTAGGGGGTACACCTCCCTTGTTTATGTTTCTTAATTAAAAAGTTGAAAACAAGAAAGTGGGGAGAGAGGCCAGGGGTTCCACCCCAGCACAAAATGGACCCTTGATCATTCGTTCCTCATTTAGCAATTTTTAATACCTACTGTGAATGAGGCACCATGCCAGGTGCTGGGAATCCAAAGAACACAGTCCCTGCTCTCTAAGAGCTCACACTATAGCAGTGAAGACAGAGTATTAAAGTAGTAATTACATTAAAGTGTGTTGAGTGTTACAATTGGGGAAATGCCATATTCTGTGGATTTATCCCCTGAGAATAATTCAAGCTGTTTCTCTTCTGTTATCAACATATTCCGGGGCTGCCTCTTGAGTTCCCCAAACATGAATTCCTTTCAGTATAACCCTTAAAACAGCAAACATTTACTGAGCACTTACTGGTGTGCCATACAGTGTGTGAACATCTGCAAGAAAATTCCAAGGTAAATTAGCAATGTAAAAATCATCCTATACAAGGACGCAATTAAATGTAGTATCACTTGACAGCACAGGCAAGCTGAAAAACAATTTGATATATCTTGATTTTTACAGTATTCGTAACAGGTTTTGTCAGAAAATTACCTTGTATCCGCCCCCCCACCCCCCGCCCCGTCATTTCAGAGCGCTAGATGGCTCTACCTACTACCTGGCATGGGTCTGAATGAGGTCTGTCCAGCCTTAAAGGGCCAGCTCAGGGCTGTGCTCTACCAAACCTCTCGCTGCTGTAAGTCTGCGTCCATCTTTCGCCTACCTTCTCTACTCTTATAGGTCCCGCATTAATATAGCATTTGGCAAGTACTCTTTTTAGTGGTGACTTTGTACATGTGTGTCTTCCCTTAAACTGGATGGATTGTTAAGGAAAGGACTCGCCAGCCCCCTATGAGATCACCTTAAGAGGCGGTCCCCCCACATCCGTGCATTCATCACGGAAACAGAAATTCCGCTCATAATGTAACAGACTGTCTCATTAACCTTGGGGCCCTATTTCCCTCCCAGTTGCAGCAATCTGGTTTATTCCACGGGGTGGAGAAAAGAAGCCAGGTTGGCTGGGTGAGAGAGGAATGGCGTCAGTGTGAGGTCATGCCACATTGTCCCGAATGCCACCTCCACTCCGCGGCGACATTCACGCAGGATTGAAGGATGCAGCCGGACGAAAGATAGTTTGCCCCTCATGCAGACTGTGTGCAAAGAGAGGGCAGGACAGAGAACAATGCGGAGAACCTCGCGGGGCGTGGCAAGGCACCTGGGCGCCTGCAGCGAGTGCCCGCAGATAGGGAAGGCGGACAGCGAGGAGCCACGCGGAGGCCGCGCAGGATGAGGCGGGACTTCCGGAAGCCATTTGCTTGAGTGGCAGGGGAACCGGAAGTGGGGGCGCTGCCGCTGGTGTTGGGGCCCGAGGAGGGACGCGCCGGAGTGGGGCCGCCGGGACTGAGCGAGCGACAGACGCGCCACCCGCCGACGCCGCAGCCGCTTGGGGCCCGCACGGACCCTCTGCCTGAGTGAGTGCAGCCAGGGTCGCGGGAAACCGGCGGCTTAGAGGTGGGGGTCGGAAGGGCCTGCGATTTGTTATTGTGAGAGGCCCGCGACCTCCCCTCCCCCACTGTGCGGGGCCCCTCCCCCGCGCCACCTCCCCCCTCCCCGCCGACCCTTGGGGGGCCTCGCGCGCGCGCGCGCGCCTTCTTCGCGGCCCTGAGCAGCTTCCCCAGCCGCCCGCGCAGTCCCCGGCACCCCCCGGACCGCTCGCCGCCCCCCTTAGAGCCTCCCACTGGCACCCCACCCCCAAACCTGCCCACTAGGCTGGGCCGCTAGCCGCCGTCTCCACCCGCCTTTCCCGGGGGAGGGATTGGGAGGAGGACTAGGGTGGCGGGGCGGCGGGGCGGCGGGGCGGCCGTCCCTCCCCGGCCCACCCCCCTCGAACAGGCCTCTAAGAGGCACCCGATCTCGCTGTGGCCGGCGGTTCAAAGCCGCCAGCCCGGTTTGTAGCAACTCTTCTGCCTCCGGTCTCAGCTGTTGCCTCTTCCCTCCATCCCCGCGCCCAAACCTCTGACCCTCCCTTCCCGTTCCCCCTACGCGAGAGGCCTTTAACGCGGGCCCAGACCCGTTACTCGGTGGTTTGTAGACTGGGCACTTTTTCCTCCCCTTTTGTTGAAAAATTTCAACTCTTTAGAAACTTCTCCGTTTCGTCTAATGTGTTCTAAAACCCGCAGACTGTCACGGCTCCAAAGGGATTGTTTCTTAGAGGGCCGTGTAGTCCAGCACCTCATTTTAGGGACGAGGCCCAGCCAGGGTTGGAGATTTGCCCAAGGTCAACCAGCTGCTTAAAAATGCCAATGGACAGATTTTCGCAGGTGCTTTTTACCAGGTCCGTCCATGGCCATTCACCATACCAGATCGAGACTTTCTGGCCTGCAGGTTCGCGATATACCCGTTGCATGGTGACTCACTGTTCTGCTTCTCATAGCTCTCAAGCCTGCGTTGTTTTCCATGATTGAAGCACAAACCTTAAGAAAAGCAAACACTTCAAGCTCTGGCTTCTTTTTTAGAGCGTGTCTGCAGAGAAAGGGAAGATCATCTGCACCCACTCTAGGATCTCATTTTGTACAGTTTTAAATTGGGGCGAGGGGGATAAAGGTGTGGAGAAAGGAGGAGCAAAAAATATATTGTCTCTCCTGAGCATTTGAATACAGCTTTGCCCCGGATAAGCCTTCGGTCTTTAGATTCTCCTGGGCACATTGTTCTGATATAAAGGTTGCCTCCTTGTGGGGGAGCAGGGGAGGAGTAGGAAATCACTGTGCTTTAATTTGTTGGCTTGGGCAGGCATTTGATAATAAATTATGGATGTGCTGGAACCCCTGGACCCACCCTCCAGCCCACTGAGGCAGGGCATTCTGGATGAGGCTTTTTTCCCTTTCAGAATAACCCTGCCAACTCCCTCTGAAACAGAATGAAGAGTCTTGGGTCAGAGTGGACAGTCTAAATCTTTTAATTCTTGGTGCAGTTTTTCTCCTCCCTCTGTTTCCTGGTTAAACTAAAGATCCAGTTGAGCTTGAGAATTTATATTTCTTTGTTGTTGGAACTGGTTTCTGATTAAACACGCTACACCAGCTACACCACATACTGGTATAAGTATCTGGAAATTCTGGTGCTCACTGTCACAGTCCTAGTTAAGGTAGAAAGAAGATAGAAAATACAGGAAGATTGGGAAATATGCAAGTTGCTTACTCCTCATTTTTCCGAAGAATTTGTATTTTAATGGACAATTAAAGATTTCCTGGAATAGTCTCTCCTGGTAAATTAACGAAACTTTTGTTCTTCAGACCTTTATCTCCATTCTACTTGGTTTCTCTAACTGAATCTGCTGTTTGTGATCAGAAGTTAGTGACTTAAAATAATCCCCCCCAAAGGGATTATTATGAATCGGGAAGGTGAGATGGGAGTCAGAATCCACCTCCCTGTTGGTACTTTTTTTTTATTATGGTACTAATTACAGGCTCACCGTTACCAATACTGTTGTGTACGGTATTGCTCTGAGGCAGGAAACCCAAAATCATTCAGGTTTGTGTGTCCTATCACAGGCTGTACTCTGGATAGCTCCTGATTCATTCTTCATTTTTCTTACAAAGAATATAGCAGTTTACTTTATTTGATTCCCAAATTTGAATCTTCTAAATGCATAGATCCCTAGATTATGCATTTCCAGCTTTGTTCGTAGAAGACTGCATGGGTTCATGGCTCAGTTTTTCTTTACTTGCTCTTCTAGGATGTTACCAAGCCATAGTCATCAGTAAAACTGAAAGCTACTTTGTATTGTGAGAATTCGATTTGGCAAAACAATACAAAATCCAAGTGTCTGAAGGCCCAAAGAAACAAATTTGTGCTCAGATACTTTGCCCTTGTTGAGGAGGAAGGATGACCTTGTATTCATAGTTTAGGGGAAAAAAGACGACAACTACCTAATTGGGAATATTTTGCAGTTTTCTCTCAATTCTTTCTGCCTGAAGCCTCTGATAAGTGACATCTTTTCCCTCCGTTTCTCTGTCTCTGTTTCTTCATTTTTTTTTTTAAGATTTTATTTATTTATTTATTTGTCAGAGACGGAGAGAGAGCGAGCGAACACAGGCAGACAGAGAGGCAGGCAGAGGCAGAGGGAGAAACAGACTCCCTGCCGAGCAAGGAGCCCGATGTGGGACTCGATCCCAGGACCCTGGGATCATGACCTGAGCCGAAGGCAGCTGCTTAACCAGCTGAGCCACCCAGGCGTCCCCTCTGTTTCTTCATTTTGCCCGTGAAGAAGTTTAGTATCTACATGAAAGTGTTTTGCTCAGTGTATCAGGATGCCATTAAATTTGGTTAGTAATGATAAGGTGTGTAAGTGAATCACATTAGTGAATGAGAATTTATCATGTCTTTTCTATATAGAGTCTAACATCCTTTGCTCCAGAATGATAGGCTTTGGAGGTATATCACTCTGAGTTCCAGTTCCAGCTCTCCCTATCATGGAGCAGATTCTTTAAATCCCAGTGAGCTTCAATTTTATTAAAATAACAAAGCGCTGGGGCGCCTGGGTGGTTCAGTCGGTTAGGTGTCTGCCCACCCTCGCTCAGGTTGTGAACCCCCACGATCCAGCCCCAGGTCTGACTCCTTGCTCAGCTGGGAGCCTGATTCTCCCTCTCCCTCTATCTGCTGCTCTCTCAGCTTGTGTGAGGTGTCTCTCTTTCTCTCTCTCTGTCAATAAGTAAAATCAATAAAAAAATAAAGCACTTAGCACAGTGTCTTGTAAATAGTAAGTTCTTAATTTTAATTGTGATTATTATTTTACAACAGTTATTTACCTGTTGGAGGAACTCTGAAAATCCATGTTAGTAAATTGAATCCTAGATCCAGAAAGATTTTAGAACTTAAAAAGACCATTGGTCTTGAAAGTAGAGTATGTGCACTCCCTGGGGATTACAGAAGATAAATCATTGGAATACAAGAAATAATTTAGAACTTCTTTTTACATTTATTTTTTATGTAAAAGGAAAAAGTAAACTTTATTAATATTTAATGTATAGATTAACAGTAACTCATATATTTACTTTTTAAGTAAATATATAATAGGACACATTTCAAAAAGATTCTAGAATATTAAAGATGTTTGGGCACCGCCAATCTGGACCAGTCTTTACTCATTTGCTTTAGTTCACTTTATGCTTTCTTGTTAGGGGTTCAGCTTGCCTCCCTTTGACTCTCCATTGGGGGAATCTACTGTGAGAGACAGGCCATGTCATTTTGTAGTCATACTTGTTAGAAATTTGTCTAACTGCACATTCTGTCCACTGGCCCTACTTTCCTATTTGGGGACATGCAAAATAAGTTTAATATCTCTTCCTAGTGATCTTCAAATAGTTTGACATTTATGTCCTGTCTTCCTCCTCCCTAACCAGTTTTTCTACAGATTATAAACATGCCTATTTCATTTAGCTGTTTCTAATATGACAGGCTTTCAGTTTCTTACCAGCTTGACTCCTTTCCTCTAGACACCCTCCAGTTTGTCAAAATTCTTTTAAGCTTTTCAAGGTCTGAATATTGTGGGGCACCTGGGTGGCTCAGCGGGTTAAAGCCTCTGCTTTCGACTCAGGTCATGCCCCGCATGGGGCTCTCTGCTCAGTGGGGAGCCTGATTCCTCCTCTCTCTCTCTCTCTGCCTGTCTCTCTGCATACTTGAGATCTCTTGTCTGTCAAATAAATAATTTTTTAAAATTTATTGGGGCACCTGGGTGGCTCAGTGGGTTAAGCCTCTGCCTTCGGCTCAGGTCATGATCTCAGGGTTCTGGGATCGAGCCCCGCATCGGGCTCTCTGCTTGGCAGGGAGCCTGCTTCCTCCTCTCTCTCTGCCTGCCTCTCTGCCTACTTGTGATCTATATCTGTCAAATAAATAAATTTTAAAAATCTTAAAAAAAAAAAAAAAGACCATCATCTTAAAAAAAAAATTATTTATTGTATTTATTGAATATTGTATCCCAAGAACTGAAATGAAGTTGAAGTGCCCACATTTTATCTTTTAAGTGGTGAGAGATAATGAAGGTCCGTTATATTTGTAGTTTGTCACTCTTTCTTGTTCTTTAACAACAATCCCCAGGAACAGTAGTTTCAGTTATATATTCGTATTCTGAGAGTAGGACAGATTATTTTTCTCTATTTCAGTAGTGGTTTCTCAGTTGATTTTGTGTCAATTAACTTTTACCTCAGAAATACTGAATATGTTAAGTGTCTCTCCAGGCAGGAAAACAAATGAGAGCAAACTAATGAAATAGTTGGGTTTTTCAAAATTAAGGGATGCATGGGTGGCTCAGTGGGTTGAGCATCCAACTCTTGGTTTCAGCTCAGGTCATGATCTCAGGGTCCTGGGATCCAGCCCAGGTTGGGTTCCCTGCTCAGCAGGGAGTCTGCTTGGGATTCTCTCTCTCCCTCTTTCCCCTCACCCCTTCCCCCACTTTCTCTCTCTCTGTCAAATAAATAAATAATTCTTTTTAAAAATAAAGTAAATTAATTTTAAAAAGATTCTCCACCTTTCCCTTTGCCCCTCCCCCCTTTTAAAAAGAGGGAAAGAAAACTATTTAAAATTTTAGAAAATAGCCTTTTGAATTAGTGGAAAGTGAAGTTGTTTGTTGCTCTGTTTCTTATATATGTAATTTTGAAATCCATAAGGTAGGAAAACTTGTTTGCCCCTTGTCTATCTTAAGGCTAATACAGCTGCTTGAACAGCAGGAAAGAAAGCTTTTTTTAAAATTAAAACTGCTATTAAGCACCATGTTAGATTTAACTTGAATAGCCAGACTTCGATCTAGAATTGAACTTAGACCCAAAGAAACTTTTGTATAGAACATATAGAATGTTTTCTTAGTTTAAAAACAAAAGCAGGGTCCCTGGGTGTCCCAGTTGATTAAGGGTCTGACTCTTGGTTTCTGCTCAGGTTCATGATCTCAGGGTCATGAGATTGAGCCCCAAGTGGGCTCTAAGCTCAGCAGGAATTCTGCTGAATGTTCTCTCTTGCTCTCCCTTTGTGTGCATGCACTCTCTCTCACAAATAAATAAATCTTAAAATAAGATTTTATGATTTATTTATTTATTTGAGATAGAGACAGAGACAGAAAAGACAGACAGACATAGGGAGAGTACAAGAGGAGAGGAGAGGAAGGAGCTGTCTCCCTGCAGGGCAGGGAACCTGACCCGGGGCTCTGTTCCAGAACCTGGGGATCATGACCTGAGCTGGAGGCAGATCCTTAAGTGACCAAGCCACCCATGTGCCCCCAAAGTTAAATGTTTCTATGTGACTGTTTTAATCCCCTTTAGTTATTTTTTTCCTTTTCCTTTAGGTATCTTTTAATTTTCCCATACTTTTCTCAGGCAATGAAGCCTCAACCAGATAACCATAATCTGATTGGAGCTATACAAATTCATCTTGCGATTCTTCCCAATTCTTGTATTTTATATGATGTTTTTAGCTCCAGGTAGTTTATGTTGTTTGGGTGAAACGGTTAGATACAAGACCTTTTAGGGAGTCAGCATGCACTGCTTTGTGATTAGGGGGCCAGATGTGTTGTTACTGGGGTCAAGCAAACCTGACTTCGTTCACTTACTTCCCAAATTAGCTAAATTATCTGAGCCTCGTTTTTTTCGTTTTGCAAGGATTGGAAGTGGTACTTTTAAAACATGGCATATATAGTCCTTCAGATGGCTGTTATTTTCTGATAGTTGCAAATTTTAGTAATCTAAAGAAATACATACATACAGAGATGGTCCCCGACTTAATAATGGTTCTACTTAATGACATTTTGACTTTACAGTGGTGTAAATGTTGTGTGCATTCAGTGGAAACCATATTTCACTTTTGAAGTTTGATCTTTTGTGGGGGTGCTGGGAGTAAAGCCATAGAAGTTTATTAAGTGAAGATACAGGGAAAGCTCTCGAGAGTGAGAGGGGTCTGGACAAGGTTGCCAAGGAGGGCCTTAGGGTTGGTCTTTTATAGAAAGCTAACCAGGAAACTTAAATTCTTCCTTCTAGGGGCTGGCTATTCTTTGTCAGTCACAGGTGGTTATCATAAAGACAGCCGCCCCACACGCCACCCACCCCCCACACCTAGGCTGGATCGTCCCCCATTCTGCATGCCTAGGACAGGGTTTGGAAGTTTGATCTTTTCCTGGGTGAGGGACATGCGATAAGATCCCATGGTGATGCGGGGCCGTAGCAGTGAGCCCAAGCTCCCGGTCAGCTGCGTGGCCTTGAGGGTGAGCATCCGATACAGGGACAGCCGTTCCGATTCTCGTGCCTAGTACGGTCTTCAGTAAGTTCTGTGAGGTACTCAGTGCTCTCTGGTGAAATGGGTTTTCGTGTTAGATGATGCTGCCCAGTTGTAGGCTAATGTAAGTGTTTCGCGCACGTTTCAGGTAAGCTAGTTTATACTGTTTGGTAGATGAGGTGTATTAAATGCGTTTTTGATTTGGGATTTTTCTTTCTTTTCTTCTAGATATACTTACTTATATTTTAGAGAGAGAGCATGCAAGTAGGGAGAGGGACGGAGGGAGTGGGAGAGAATCTCAGGCTGACTCTGCTGATCCTGGAGCCCATACAGGGTTCAGTCTCAGGACCCTGAGGTCATGACCTGAGCTGAAATCCAAAGTGCTACCCTTAACCGTCTGAGCCCCAGGTGCCCCGATTTAGGATATTTTCAATTTACAAAGGATTTATCCAGATGTAATCCCTAATGTAAGTTGAGGAAGACCTGTACACAGGGTGTTTTACATTTCCAGTTAGATACAGGCTTAACCCTAAGCTTAATTTTCTTAGACCTAGTGTCATTTAGAGTGGAACTAATTGGTTTGCATAGCTAGTGTTAAAACATGGGTTTGCTTCTGTCATGTATTTTTCATGAATGAAGGTCTGTTTTCATATTGCGAGCTTTGTTACTTTCTGATTCTCAAAAATTACTGCTTTGGCAATCTAGCGTGTTTTGTTTACTCAGTAAATACTTATTGAATGAATAGAACTCAGTCCTCTTTCAGAGAAAGCTTAGCTGTATTTGATGATAGTAAGGGAAAGAAAGAGAGTGGTCCGCTTTTCTTTACACCACAAAACCCCAGATGTTTTTCTGTTTTTCATCATCCTTTGTATATGTCAAGTGATTTCTTGAGCCTGATGTCTCTAGTATGTGTTCTCCAGAGTTGATTGAAAACAGTCTGGTGTCTTTGTCTTTCTAGATTAGCATTTCTAGGTTTTCTGATTTTTGCTTACTCCTCTACTGTCAGATTCTATATTTGGGCTCAGTCATTAATAACATTTTCTTAATGGATACCTGTCAAAAATAAAATACCTAGTAAACATTTGTCAAAAACCAGTGCCAAAGCCTATGGCTGGTTTTGTCACAATCTGTAATAGTTACTTGTGTGATATTTAGTAACCAGTGGACTCTGTTCATGGCTGTAGCAATTTTCCAGTGTCTAATTGAAACAGCCTAAGAGGCTCTAATGCAGGTTTCATTGAACACTTAAGTGTCTAATCCCTTGTGTCGTTTGGTACTTACATTAACATGTAATCATGAAAAATTAATGTAGATGTAAAGTATATACTTGGAGCAGATTTTTTCAGTGTAATGCACTATTCCTAAATGATATTCAAACCTCTCTAGAAGTTTAGGGATGCTTCTTGATATTCATGGGACTTAAGTAGTCATGTCCTAGAACTCATGTTTACTGAAAATTAACTCCAGTTGTTTCATTTCTAGGCAAAACCACAATGAGACTTAAATTACTATTTAAAACTTAGCATGTAACATTTAAGGGGTAACGGATAAACATTCCTGTTAATGAATGAAACATGATGTCGACATTTGTCCCCTCAGGTATAGAATGAGCCAAGGAGACTCAAACCCAGCAGCTATCCCACATGCGGCAGAAGATATTCAAGGAGATGACAGGTGGATGTCTCAGGTAAAGGGAAGTGCGTATGTATTACTCACCCAAGAGGAGTCTCTTCAGTTTTCTAGAGTCTTTTGGCCAAAGCCACAAGAGTACATTTTTTATGGTCGATAAGAATCATCACTTTAAATAAAAATCTAATGTTACGCTAATGTCGTACTCAATCACCAGACTGATGTTGCACCAGAGGAGTATTTTGAAAGCATAGTCCTTGCCCCTGTTCATCTTAAAAGATAACAGTGTTTCCACAGCATTCTTTTTTTTTTTTTTTGTAAACTTTTTTAATTTTGAAGTAATTTCAGAATTACACAAATACTGCAAAAATTTTAGGAAAAACTCCCCGTATTCTTCATCCGGTCCTGCCAGTTATCGTTTGGCCCCGTTGGCCTAAGTGTTCTGTCTGTATCTACTTGGATGTCTACACACCAACATTCAGTGTTTTCTGAACCATTTGAGAGGAAGTTGCAGTCATCATGCCCCTTCATTCCTAAATATTTCAGTGTGTTTTCCAAGAATAAGGACATTTTCTTATACAACTACAGAGTAGTTACTAAATCAGGAAATTTAACATTGATATTATGCCATGTTCACATTTCTCCATTTGTCCCAATATTTTTATGTCAGTTTTCCTCCAAGTCTAGGATCACACATTGCATTGCATTGTCCTGTCTCTTTATTCTCCTTTACTGTGAAATGTATCTTAGCCTTTGTTTTTCATGACACTGACAGTTTGGAATATAGGCCATTTATTTTGTGGAATATTCCTCAATTTGGGTTTACCGTTTTCCTCTTAATCAAGATTCAGATTACACATTTTTGGCAGGATATCAGTGAAGTGATGTCCTCAGTGCACCACATAGAAGGTACATGATGTTGGTCTTTCTCATTGGTGATGTTAACTTTGGTCACTTGATTAAGATGTTGTTGGCCTAAACCAGATCTTATTTATTATGGTGTGGACTCATGGGTTCTTATTCTTCCCAGTGGGCTTATAGAACCCATTGTAATTTTGAAGGTCACGCTGTCCCAGGTTTAACAAGTGGGAATCCTTTCAGGGCAGCTCCTGTGTCTTCTTGATGTGTTCCATTGTTCTGTAGCACCATGTCTTCTTTGTATTATTAGCTGCCTTTCAATAAGCTGTTACCACTTAACCGTAATTATATTTAACCTTCACCTGTGGGTTTCAACCATATTTCCTCTTTGGAATAACAAGTTCTGTATGATTTTATGTACCCAGAGTTTTGCATTTTAGTATTTAGTGATTTTGTTTATACTCTGTGGTTATACAACTGTACTAGTTGTATAGTTCTTTCGTTTTTGTCTTTCCAGACTTAAAAATCAGTCTGTCAACTAGCTTACTTTGAGTGGTAGTTAGTACTTTTTTTTTTTTTAATGGATCAGCTGCATGGTTATTCTTAATATTCCTAGTTTGTGTGTGTGTGTGTGTGTGTGTGTGTGTGTGTGTGTGTGTGTGTGTATGTATATATATATATATATTTAGGATTTTATTTATTTATTTGACAGAGAGAGAGCATGCACAAACGGGAGTGGCAGGCAGAGGGAGAGGGAAAAGCAGGCATCCTTCTGAACAGGGAGCCCAATGCAGGGCTCAATCACTGAGCCAAAGGCAGACTCCTAACTGTTTGAGCCACCCAAGCACCCCAGTTCATTTATATCTTAAAAAGTATTATGAAGGGGAGCCTGGGTGGCTCAGTGGGTTGAGCCTCTGCCTTGGCTCGGGTCATGATCTCGGGGTCCTGGGATCAAGCCCCGCATCGGGCTCTCTGCTTAGCTGGAAGCTCTGCTTCCCTTTCTCTCTCTCTCTCTGCCTGCCTCTCTGCCTACTTGTGATCTCTATCTGTCAAATAAATAAATAAAATCTTCAAAAAAAAATATTATGAAATCCACTAACCATCCATGTATTTACCACTCATCCTTAAAAAAATAAAACATTGCTAATAGAATCGATGTCCTGTGTATACTCCTTATTGATCATTTTCTTTTTCCCACCTCCCCACCCCCAAACCAGTACCCTAAATCCTAAATTTGGTGGGTTTTTTTTACATGCTTATATACTATGTATATAAAATTTCTAAACTGTATATATAGTAGTTTTGCATGCTTTTAAGCTTTTTGTAAATAGTATGTTTTTGAATGTGTTTTTCTGCAGTGTATCATACATGTTAAAAGCGTAGCTATAGTTTTTTTCCTCCGTATGTTTTTTATTTTTTTTTTTTTTAAGATTTTGTTCATTTATGTTAGAGAGCGCTGGAGTGGGGGAGGGAGGGAGAGAGAGAATCCCAAGCACAGTGTGTGCTGAGCGCAGAGCCTGATGCAGGTCTTGATCCCGAGGTCCCTGAGATTTTTTTTTTTTTTTTTTAAAGATTTTATTTATATATTTGACAGAGAGATCACAAGTAGGCAGAGACAGGCAGAGAGAGAGGGGAAGCAGGCTCCCTGCTGAGCAGAGAGCCCCATTCAGGGCTCGATCCCAGGACCCTGAGATCATGACCTGAGCCAGAGGCAGAGGCTTAACCCACTGAGCCACAGGTGCCCCGGTCCCTGAGATCTTGACCTGAGCTGATGCTTAGCTGACTGAGCCATCTAGGTGCCTCTTCTCTTTAAATTATATTTTTTTGCTCTATAGGAAGATGCCATTTAGGTGCATTTAGGCCATTTATAACTTTATTAAAAGTTTAAAACTAGGTGTCTCTGTTGTTACTGGCATAAATTAGCAGGCTTTAAATTAGCATTGACTGGAAAAAACATAGTCAAATGGAAGAAAAACAGGAATATTTTAAAAAGTTTCTTTTTAACCCATATAGAAGGGTAACTTTACTAAATAATAAAATACATGCTCAGATCTTGGTTTCTTTGGTCCAGTGAAAGGAACCAGGGCTACTTGGAGAAATGATTGCATCTACAGCTAGAGTAAAGGAAATAAAAGATGAACCCATAGCATCTTGTAGTGCAAGAGAGCAACTACCCAAAAAAGAAAAGAAAAACAGATGTATGGCAGGAATATCACAGAAGTGAAGTGTCCATAGTACGTCTCATAGAAGTCATGAGATACTGGCTTGTCTCATTGATGATACTCACTTTGACCCCTTGAGGCCAACCTGAAAGAGCACCCAGATGCAAAATTGGACAGTTTGAGTGACATAATAAATCATATTATTGGTTTATAACTCAAAGGATAAAGTAAATATTCACGAATCCATTTTGCTATAAATAAATGGTTGGATAAACAGGGAAAGAGACAGTAATTTTAATTAATATAGGGGCACCTGGCTGACTTAGTTGGTAGAGCGTGCTACTCTTGATCTTGGGGTTGTGAGTTCGAGCCCCACATGGGGTGTAGAGGTTACTTAAAAATAAAATCTTTTAAAAATAAATAAATATAGAAGAAGGGAGGGAAAAGAAACCCCTCATTAGAACACCATGGTAGGGGCACCTGGGTGGCTCAGTGGGTTAAAGCCTCTGCCTTCAGCTCAGGTCATGGTCCCAGGGTCCTGGGATCAAGTCCCACGTCGGGCTCTCTGCTCAGCAGGGAGCCTGCTTCCTCCTCTCTCTCTCTGCCTGCCTCTCTGCCTCCTTGTGATCTCTGTATGTCAAATAAATAAATAAATAAAATATTAAAAAAAAAAAAGAACACCATGGTAATAATCACTGTAGGGAAGGTCCATCGGTGAATACTAAAATTAGTAAGCACACCTTTAAGGAGAGAGAGTATATTTGCCTAGCCTCAGAAATAGCCCCCTGAAAATTACCTTGGTGGTTTTAACATACAATCACATGTTTTTTTATATCCCCTCCTTCCAGAAAGTAGAACATATTAATTCCCCCACCAGTGAGAGCTGGATTTAGTGTCCTCTTTTTTTTTTTTTTTTTAAGATTTTATTTATTTATTTGACACAGAGAGAGAAAGAGAGAGAACACAAGCAGGGAGAGCAGCAAACAGAAGGAGAAGTAGACTCCCCGCTGAGCGGGGAGCCCCATGTGGGGCTTGATCCCAGGACCCTGGGATCATGATCTGAGCCAAAGGCAGACGCTCAGCTGACTGAGCTACCCAGGCGCCCCTTATGTCTTATTTCTAACAAATACAGTATGGAAAGGAAAAATAACAGATAGTGGAGAAACATGGCAAACACCCCCTTAACCAAATGGTCAGTGTTAACATCCACCAGTAATAAATCATGTTGATATCATGTACTTACTTACCTCTGATACGATACAGCAAGGGCACACACATCACCTCCGTGGTAGTCTTCCAGAATAATTTGTCACGTCAGTCTGTTCGTGACAAAATATCAGACAGACCCAAATTGAGGGAAATGCTACAAAACACCTGACTACTACTAAACCTGTCAATGACATGAAATACAGGGAAAGACCAAGAAACTGTCCCATGATGGAAGACACCAGGGGGACATGTAGACCAAATGCCATGTGGTATTCTGAATTGGTCCTGGGAATAGGAAAAGGACATATAGTTAAAATTAGTGAGATCTGAGTAAACTATATTTTTTTTTAAAGATTTTTATTTTAGGGGTGCCTGGGTGGTTCGTCGTTAAGCTTCTGCCTTTGGCTCAGGTCATGGTCCCAGGGTCCTGGGATTGAGCCCCGCATCGGGCTCTCTGCTCCGCGGGGAGCCTGCTTCCTCCTCTCTCTCTGCCTGCCTCTCTGCCTACTTGTGATCTCTGTCTGTCAAATAAATAAATAAATTCTTCAAAAAAATATTTAAAAAATTAAAAAAATAATAATAAAGAAAAGGTGGGCAGGCCTGTGGAAAAACGGCAAGAGGAAAATACTCCCAAATGGTAGTTACTGGGTTAAGGTGGTAGAATTCTAAGTGTTTTGTTTTGATCTATTTTTCTAAACTTACTGTACCTACTTTTATACTTAAAAAGAAAACCCAGAGTACCAGGACCTGTAGAATAGCAGAGCTTAAATTCCATGACCTTCTAGAACTGTGAACTATTGTACTGGTATTAAGAGGTAGTTGGCACTATAGTACTAAAGTGGGGAGGAAAAGTGTGGAAGTGTTCAAACTGCTCACAGCTGTAGTTGTATTCATGCCCACTTTATCTCTTCAGTTTAAAAATACTTATTGAAATAGTAGTAATTTAAGAGAAGGGCTCGACTCCTTCTTTGCCATTGTCTCACAGTTGGAGGTGAACAGGCATTTTCCAAGGCCATGTTAAATATATCCCGATAAGATACATGATTCTTAATTGGTTCCTACTTCAAAAAAAGAGAGCACTTTACCCAGCTCTTGGAACAACTGGAAAAATGGAATATGAACTGAATATTTCGGGATGATTGTTCATTATCTTAGATGTGGTAGTAGTTTTGTGGTTTTATAGGAGACTGTCCTTCCTCGTGCTGAAATATTTAAGGGTGAAGAACCACAGCATTTGCCCCTTCCCTTCAGATGGTTCAGCAAACAAGCAGATAAAGCATGCGTGGGAGAATGTTATTTGTTGAATACAGGCAGAGGATATACAGGTGTTCGTTGTACTGTGGCTTTTCTGTGTGTCTGAAATTACCTTTTAAAAAGTTTGAGGAAAAAATAAACTAAAAAACATGTTAAATGTGCCTTTCTATTCTGGTTTCAGTAGAAATCCAGTTTCCTTGACCATGTTAGAATGATCAGTGTGGAAAGGATGGGAAGAAAGTCCCAGCAGTTCATTTCAGACAAAATAAATAGAATGTTTAACAACAGAGTAACTGGTTGGACAACTGCTCTTTCTAGACCAAGACCTCTCACCAAGAACGAAATGCCAGTTTCTAATGTTTTTTCCTTTTTCAAACCAGCACAACAGATTTGTCCTGGACTGTAAAGACAAAGAGCCTGATGTGCTGTTTGTCGGGGATTCCATGGTGCAGTTAATGCAGCAGTACGAGGTAAAGGTGGAAGAAGGGGTGGGGGTGGGTCTTGGCTGCTAAGGTAGATCCATTCATCCTAGCATACTTTGACTCTGAGCTGAACCTATAGGCTTATTCACGACGCTTTAGAGAAGGTCTAGTTCAGAGTGTGAGGGAGGTCAGACCTACATAATGGGGTTCTTTGTGCCACCAAGTGTGATGAGACAAAAAATTTAGAATCGTTTCTGGCTCCCTTTTTTGCATTGGTTTCCAAGAAGCTTCCCTGTTACATTTATTTAATTTGTCCTGGTCATGATTCTCAAGTCTTAACTATGTTTTACATTTTCTTATTTCGTGTATTTTTTTAAAAAAATTATTTATTTATTTAATAGAGAATGTAGGGGAGAGGGAGGGTTGGAGGGGAACAGAGAGAGAGTCCCAGGCAGACTCCACACTGAGCGCAGAGCCCGATCCCATGATCCTCAGATCATGACCAATAGTCAGACACTTAACTGACTCAGCCACCGAGGTGCCCCTTATTTTGTGTATCTTTGTGGGGAGCTGTTCCACATTTTTTTTTTTTTTTTAAGATTTGCACACTTCTAAGGGCAGTTGAAAGGAAAAGGCAGCTTGATTCCTTTCTGGCTCCAGTGCTAGATTTCTTCATCTCATAGTTCTCCTTCACCCAATTCAATTTGATGTGTGAGAAAAGGGAAGGGAGAGCTTATGAAGTTGGCACCTTGAGTATAAATGCTGGGACCTCCTAAGGGGCATCAGGAAGGACTGTGACTCCAGTCTTGAGCTGAGGTCAAAGTCTGCATTAAGAACTGAGTGATAGAGGGGCGCCTGGGTGGCTCGGTTAAGCATCTGACTCTGGATCCCAGGTCTTAATCTCACGATTGTGAGTTCCAGCCCCACTTTGGGCTCCACGCTGGGCATGGAACCTACTTAAAAAATTAAGTAAAAAATAATCATAGAAAGAACTTAGTGATACAGTGCCATCCTCAGAGCCCTGCAAACACCGAGTAGCTCATGATTTGCAGCATGACATTTGAATATTGAAAATGAAAATCATTCTTTCAGGTGCCTCACAAACACATCGCAGTGGAGGAATTTCATTTCCCACTCAGTTTAAATAAAGCCAGTTTTTCTCTTTTTAGATATGGCGAGAGCTTTTTTCCCCACTTCATGCACTGAATTTTGGAATTGGGGGAGATACAACAAGACATGTTTTGTGGAGACTAAAGAATGGAGAACTGGAGAATATTAAACCTAAGGTGAAATGAAACTAATGTTTTAAAGAGTATCTTTAATCTTGAGTCTTTTGCAGGTAGTTAAATTGTCTGAAGCTGCTAATAAAAACAGATTGCTTCTTTAAAACATTATTTTGCTACTGTCTTTGCTTTATGCCCCTTTAACGTCAATGATACTGTTGTCCCTGCTTACGAACATTGCATAAAGGTATTAAAAAATCAGTGTACTGCTTGCTTAGGTTGTATTTGTAGTCGTCAGTAATGCTCTTCTTCAGCTGTAGGAAGGGATCTGATGCTCATGAGGCATGCTGTTTTGTAGATGTGAATGCAACACCAGGAGGAATCTGCTCAGATGTGGGCCACGGTGGCAGTGCCATGATTCACTTCAGGAAGTAATTTTAGAGCTGTTTAACCATAAGACAAATTAGTAATCAAGGCCTCCAAGTTTTTCTGACGAAAATTTGAATCAGATGTGAACAGATGTTCATAAATGTGTACCCATTACCTTAACACATCATAAATGTCCTGAGTTGGCACACTGCGTATAATCTTTTTCAGCTTCAAACAAAGTTGGTAACAGTTGCTTTGTTGAAAGTATGTTATTTTTTGCCTTTAAAAATTTTTTTTTTTTTAAGATTTATTTATTTTAGAGAGAGAGCATGAGCAGGAAGGGCAGAGGGAGAGAGAATCTCAAGCAGACTCCGTGCTGAGCCTGATGCAGGCCTTGAGCTCATGACTGAGAATGTAGCCTGAGCTGAAAGCAAGAGCTGGGCGCTTAAAGGATTCCACCACCCAGGCGCCCCTTTTTATTATTTATTTATTTAAAATATTTTATTTATTTATTTATTTATTTACTTATTTTTAATTTAGAGCACTGCTGCAAGTGGGGGGAGGAGTAGAGGAGAGAGGGACAAGCAGACTTCATGCTGAGTGCAGAGCGTGACATGGGGCTCGATCCCATGACCCAGAGATTGTGATCTGCGTCAAAATCAAGAGTCAGACACTTAACCAGCTGAGCCACCCAGGTTCCCCCCCCCCTTTTTTTTTTTTTTACAGTTTTGAGTAATCTGAATATCCAATATGGCGCTTGTACTCACAGCCCCGAGATCGAGAGTCCCATGCTCTACTGACTGAGCCTTTGTAATAGAAAAACTTGTCCATATTCCTGTCTTTTGTGACAAGGTAGAAAGTTACTTTTTGGGGTTGTAGAGTAAGAGGTATGTCTCTAAGTGACAGCCACCTCATAAATTAATTTTTTTTTTAAGGAATAAAACTTGTTGAAACTTCATCTAGCCTCCTCCCCAGCTACTCTTCAGTATAACTGTGTGTTTGTTTATACCAATTACATTCTCTTGGGTACTTCCATTATTTTTTTCTGGAAGTCAGGAAGTTCCTATGGCAGGAGTTGCAAATATTTTTCCCTGGCTTTCTTAGATTTCACCTTCTTAAAATATTTTCTTCATAATGCAGAGCTTTTATTTTTACACAGTTGAATTTGTTACTTTTTTTGTGTAAGTTCTGGATTTTAAGGATTAACTTCAGTTCCACAATGGTGGAAGAATTTTGTGGTTTCCTCCTAGTGTAGTTTTATTGCTTCTTAATTAATCTGCTTGGAATTTATCCTGAAATACATGAGGCCTAAATCAGTGTTTGAAGATGGCTGCTCAGTTGAAGTTATCCCTACCATTTGACAAGTTCACCTTTCCTTCTTTTGTTTTTTGAAATGAGATTTTTATCTAAAGAGTGAAAAATAATATCTGAACATTAGATTTGTAGCCAAACATTCCTTTATTCTTGGTTATTTACCCCTCGTCCTGCTTTTTTTTTCTTCCCTCAATTATAGGTCATTGTGGTCTGGGTAGGAACAAACAACCATGAAAATACGGCAGAAGAAGTAGCAGGTGGAATCGAGGCCATCGTCCAACTTATTAATACAAGGCAGCCGCAGGCCAAAATCATTGTATTGGTATGTAGTCTTCGGGTCTGTAGTCTTTGATGTCATCAAGTCAGGTCAGGAATGTTTTTAGAAATATGATTGCTCATGAATATAGAGAATCTTTAGGTAGAAACAGTTTGTGATTCTCCTGAGAGGCTCTTCTCTGATACGTCCTGTTGTGTGTTCCCAGACCAGCTGTGGGAGTCCTCTTTTATCTGCTCATCCTTGTTTAGAGGTGGTTGTCTCAGCCTTAGTTTTTTACAGTTTTTTAAATTAGCTATGAAACTTGTCTCTTTTTTTTAATCTCTTTTTATTAGACTGGGTTTGAATTAACTTAGATGTGTTGTTCAGTCCCCCTGTTAATATGTTAAAGGTGGTATATTTATTAGAATTTCTGAGTTCTCTAAAACATTGGAGATTCTGTTAGCAAAAAAAATGGGTGCTTTATAGTCTTACTTCTAATAGAGAATGCTGCCCTTTGTGGAATTACAGCATTAAGTCTTCATAGCCTCAGAGATAATAGCTGTCTTTCAGTATGAAAGTTTACCTATAGATATTTGTAGCAAAACTAAATTCTGAATGATAACTGATATGTATTCAGTTCTATAATGAGATGATGTTAAGAAGGTAGTCACTCAACAAACATGAGGATCAGACCCAAGACACTGTCCTGGGTCCTGAACATACAAAAATGGGTAAGACGCTGTCCCTCTCGAGGAGCACACAGTCTCATCTAGTGGTAGATGGGCACAGCAGTATAAAGAGAGAATTAACATACTGTATGCTAATGGGAGTAATTATACTGTATATTAAGGGAAAAATAGGGGTTTTTTTCTTCTAAGATTTTATTCAGAGAGTGAGTGCACTCCAGGGGGAGGAACAGAGTGAGGAAGAGGGGGAGGGTGAATGAATCTCAAGCAGACTTGGTGCTGAGTGCGGATCCCAATGCGGGGCTTGATCTCATGACCCTGATACCATGACCTGAGCCAAAACCAAGCGTTGGATGCTTAAACCAGCTGAGCCCCAAGTGTCCCATGAGAACAGGTAGATTTTAGACATAAAAGCTGTCACTTGACTCTAGTTTTATTGGTTTTTTTTTTTTTTTTAAAGATTTATTTATTTATTTATTTGACAGAGATCACAAATAGGCAGAGAGGCAGGCAGAGAGAGTGGGGGAAGTAGGCTCCCCGCTAAGCAGAGAGCCCAATGCGGAGCTCGATCCCAGGACCCTGGGATCATGACCTGAGCCGAAGGCAGAGGCTTTAACCCACTGAGCCACCCAGGCTCCCCATCGTTTGACTATAGTTTTAAAAGAATTCGTTGGTCTCCAGACAAATGGAGAAAGGAAAGAAGGCATGATAGAGGGAGGGGAGAAAAATGGAAAAAAGGCTTACACTTGTGTGTGTTTGTTGCGAAAGTGAAGGGGGGTGCTTGAAGAATTTTAGGGCTGTCATTGAATAAAGTTTAAGGCTGGGATGGGTAGGAGAAGGAGGCAATGGCCAAGTTATGTAGGGATTTGTATGCCTTGACAGAGGAGTTTGGATTTTTCTTATTGGTGCCAGTGCTTATTTTTTTATTCCATGGTATTTAATATAATTCACTTGTTTATATCCTTGTATTACTGCAGAAAGGGTTGTGGTTACGAGTCCACCTCTGAGATACAGTGGCTGATACTGAGCTGCTTAGGACACATTTGTTGCATGAATGTTGCTGAATAAATCCTCCATAAATAGTCTTTGTTTCAACCAGACTTTTAAATTTGATATACACTGGTGTTCTCTACAGCACCCAAACATCAGCAGTACCCTAAATGACTCTGAGGGAATGATTGCAGAAGTCACTGAACATAATAGCCACGATCCAGTGACAGTTACGAGAATTTTGTGGAAACAAGATTTATGACGCATTTAAGTGGAAAGTCCAAATACTAAGCTATATGTATATTTTATTTAGAATTACTTAAAATACAAATGACCCATGAAGGGCACTGACCCCCATACAGTCGAAAATCTGTGTATAACTTTTTACTCTAAAATTTAACTACTAATAGTGTAATCAGAAGCTCTCCTGATAAGCAGTAGATTAACACATATGTGGCATGTTATATGAATGATGTACAGTATTCTTGACAATAAAGCTGGGAAAAATGTGACTGAGAAAACCATACGGAAGAGAAAATACATTTACAGTACTATATTTATTGAAAAACATCTGTGACTACGTGAGCCTGTGCACTTGAAACCTATGTTGATCAAGGGTTTGCTGTAGTCCTTTGGTAAAGAGATTAGGGGCATGATATTTTTCCTTTTTGTTTCTTTTAACATGATAGTATTTTAGTAATTAATTATTACTGGGAAAAATCACATGGTGTACCTTTGGTATTTTCATACTAAGGAAAATGCAGTGCGAACACACAAGGTGCTTTTCTTGTCTTTGCTTGAAAATCAGAGGTGCAGTGCCCTGTTCTTAAGGTTTACTCATTTTTTTATTGCTTTGACTGTTGGAGCAGAGTGTGTGTATGTTGTTCACTGGCCATCCTTTCTGGTTGCTCACATCATCGAGACTTAGATATGGAAGCACGGAGGGCAGTTCTTCGTGAGTGTTAGATGCAGAGCCCAGTGCTTTACCAGTTATGTGAACGAGGGTTGAGGATTGACTTCATCTGAGGAATTTTTGAGGCGCTTAACAATGAGAGGAGATAGTCTAGGGTAGCAGAGTCCTAAGTATCTATAATTTTCATTTGGAACTACACAATCACATAATAAAGTGGTAATAAAGCTTCCAGCATTTTTGCTGAAAAAAATTAAAAGCGGACGTGTGAACAAGTACTTACTTTGGCATAAAGCTTTTTTTTTTTTTCTTTCAGTAGAATACCCACAGAAAATCTATTTTTGGAAAATAAAACCTCTTAACCATAGTCCGTAAGAGAAATGGGTAGAAATTTTTTTGCCTACGTAGGAATAACTTGTGTGCTGTCATTAGTTACAAACTGACTGAAAGGTTCTCTGACAATAATTTTATAATAGGGTCAACATCTATAAAAGGACATGTCTAGTTTGAGATGATAAGCCTTGCTCCTGCCACATAAGGGTGGACCTTTATCAACTATAGGAGGACAGACACGGGATTTATCTGAAAGTTAGATAATTAACATAAGCTAAAAATGAATGTAGGAAATATCTGTTTTATCCTAGCAGATATTATGTGGCTCTGATTGTTCAAGACCCCATTTGCTCCCAATGTTTCTCATGTACGGTAGGACAGGTTCCATGTAACTTCCATAAATACAGCCAGCATTGGAGCTAGATGATTCTGGTGACTGAGTGGAGAGTGAATTGAAGGGACAACCACACTGGAGGTAGGAAGACCAGTCAGGAGACTTTACGTTAACTGAGTGAATAGTGATAAGTTTCCAAGCCATAGCAGCATGTGTGACCAGAATGAAAGGGGCAAAAATGTTTTGGAAAGTACTGAGGATGTAAAAGCTGAGTAGTTTAATGATAAATAGATAAGGTATGTGAAGTGAAAGATGCAGGGATGTCGGAATGGTCAGTTTGTACAGAGAATGTGGAAGGAGCATAGCGTGGGGAGATGATGAATTGGTTTTGGACAGGTCAGGTCGGGAGTGCCTCAGGAAGTTTGGGAAGTTTGGTTATGGGCCAGAGCGTTCAGAGTGGGCCGAGTAGCGGGTCAGGGACAAGACCCTGAAGCATACCAGCAGTTAAGGGACAGGAGGAGGAGCGGTCAAAGAACTGTCACTAAAACCCATCTAGTCCAGAGTGTCTGGTCTCGTGTTTGAGAAATCAGAGTTTCAAGAGTGTCTAATGCAGCAGTCCTTCCGGGAATCTTGGAAAGCACAGATAAGTCAGTAGAGGAAAACCAGTGGCTCTTTTCATCTTCTGCTCTTCTCTGCTTTGCCCCAGGGTTTGTTACCTCGAGGTGAGAAGCCCAACCCGTTGAGGCAAAAGAATGCCAAGGTGAACCAGCTCCTCAAGGTTTCCCTGCCGAAGCTCGCCAACGTCCAGCTCCTGGACACAGACGGGGGCTTCGTGCACTCGGACGGTGCCATCTCCTGCCACGACATGTTTGATTTTCTGCACCTCACAGGAGGGGGCTACGCCAAGGTCTGCAAACCCCTGCATGAACTGATCATGCAGTTACTGGAGGAGACCCCGGAGGAGAAGCAAGCCACCATCGCCTGACTGGCTCCCATCAGTGTCGCTCGCACCCCAGCTTCCTCAGATCAGTTATGTCACTGGCACTACAGAATCCTTCTCTTTCCTAAGGCACTTTGCATTGTAGAATGTTCCCGGATGCTCATATCTAGTGTTTGAAGGGGAGGAGGGATTTAAACCGGTCCTGTACATAGAAGGTTGGTTTGACACGGGAGACAAATTAGCCAAGGAAGATTGTCGTCTAAATTCATTTGAAACCAGAAGGGGACTTTTTTAGTTGTATGTGTGACCTACTCATTGAATCATCACAGTTTTTCCTAGGACAACATCCAGCCTAAGGACTGAACAAAATGAAGATTTTTTTTTCTTGGCTTTTCTTTCTATGGATTATGTCATATAGAGTAACGATCAGGATCATACCGACTTGGCTTTGAAACAGATGTCTTTTCCAGTTTTTAAAGTTCATAATTTAGCCCCGTGTTTTTCGTTTGCTTTAGTCCTGTGTATTCACCACATTTTCTTAACATACAGCATCAGATCGAACATGCTTGTGATTCAGATATGGGAGATGCTATGGTTACAAGTGAATTTGTTCCACTCTCTTAATCTTTCCCATGTTTAGCAGTGGAAGATAGGTTTTGCCCCATTTGGGGGACTCTACGGAGGGTATTATTTTTATGCTGCTGAATATCATGTCTATAATAGACCCATGCATGCAGCCTTTTCTCCCTATTTCCCCTCATCGCCTCTTTGTTTTTGGGGGGGTCCTTGTTGACATTACAGGCTTTTAACACATTTTTGACCTAGGAGCTCTGTTGCTGGAAATGTAAGTCCCCAGCCAGTTACTCTCATGATGATAGTACTGATGTGCAACTCATTCTTGTGTGGTGCTCTGTGCGTAGTCTGTGTAGTGCTGTCCACAGTTGGAGTTCTGGTTTGGTTTGGTTTGGTTTGGTTTTCCCTCAAAACGTGCTACACTTCTTTTGGAGAGAGAAAAAAAAGGCAACCAGAACTCTGTTTCCCATTCCATAAGCCCTGACATTATTTCGAGTTTTATAGTATCTTAGGATGTATATTTTATTTTTTTATTGGCTTAGTTTTTTTAAATTATATCAGTCCAGAAAAACTTGGCCTTTTTTCATGGGGAAGCAAATGGAGCCGCTCTTCAGAGTAGGCCTTCTGCCTTGATCCCACCATTTTAGTGAAAAAGAACTAGGTTTGTTTGACTTTCAGGGTTTGAGAGTTTCAAGAGAGCTCTTTATGATCTTAATGGTTTGCTCGAGCTTTAAGAACTGCCATTTCAGAAACAGTGGGACAGTACATGGTTCATTGTTCGGTATACCTATGGGATATGTACAAACTGGACCTACAAACAAATATTTTAAACTGGACCAGGTGGGTATTGGAGTAGCCTGTCAGAATGTGCTCTGCCCTGATTGTGCTTAACATTCAAGTTCAGCGACTAAGGCATATGTCCGATGTTCTGCTTGCAAGGCAAGTGCTGGTGCTTTGGCGAGCTGGAGGGGTTGCTGATTTGTGCTAGGAGCCACTTCTCATGGAGAGGAATAGAACTTGGGCTGATGTTTTTCTTGTGAAACAGCTTTCTAGGAATTTTTTTGGTCTTACTTTTAGTCTTTTTTTTTTTAATACGTGTCTGAATGTATCATGTCTTCACTAACGACAGAAAGTACATGTGATGTTTACTAGACTCGTTTCCCACATTAAGGTTCCCTCTGTTTTTAGGAGCCCAGATTCTTGAGTTTATCAAGACAGGTTTTTTCTTAGCTGAGGCATAGTTCTAAGGAGGGCAGAGAAGTTTGTGTGCGAAAAGACCCATCTTATCCGGGTCTTTTTCCATTTGTCAGAGGGCGGGAGTATCGCCCAGACAAACCCATTAGGTTATTCCTGCGGCATGCGCTTCTGGCTTCCCTCTTGGCTAAGGATCAAATAGCCCTTGGTGAGCTGACCTTCGGCTCCTTTGCTTATGTGTGTAAACCTTGGGTGTTACTACATTTTATACCTACCAGAGCGATTTGAGCAATAGTATTTGAACCACTAGCCTCTTAAATAAAATCTGCCCCATTGCTAACGTGCAGATACCGAGTCCACTTTGATTTCTTGCCCACTTTCTTTGCACTGCTTTAGGCAAAAAGTGTTCATCTGTTTTTCTTTGATAGACATCCCTGTTTGCTACAGTGACAGAACTTACTGCTTACTCTTTGGATGTCTCTCTTTATACTTTCATGTATATTTAAATGTTATGCACTGTCCAAATGAAATGTCCTAGTTGTCATTGTGATTAAGGGGCCAATTTTCCAGACAGCTAGCAGAGGTGTTCTGATCCTCCAAGCAAATTTTCATTCCTTCGCCCATCCATTCCTGATACGTTGCCAGCAGCCAGTGATGGCTTTGGATTTCTGTGGACGCATCGTAAATGTGGCAGGTTGAGGATGTCCTGCCAGGGATAACCTAAGGCATGGTGTTTTGCCGCCTCCGTATCCTAGGCTGCCACAGGCAGTGGTCTGGCGCCCACTTTAGGGTCTTTTTGGACTGTTGGAGGCATCTTTCTAAACCAGAACTTCTGTGAAAAACCTTTACCCAACAAAACAAAGCTTGAGTAGCTCATGCCCTGCTCTTAAGAATTCTGTCTCTCATTAACAAAAACACTTTTTAAAAAACCTAGTCACTGTTTACAGTTGTATGCTAAAGCCTGAAATATTGTCTGTGCTGTGGTGTATGAGCATTGCCAATTTTATATTTATTGCAGTGAAGAAGAAACTAAAAATATATGAAAATGAGGAGCATGTCCACGCTCCTGAATCTGTGTGGGTGCATGTGGGAGAAGTGAGTTGGGGTCTCTTGAAAGGAGGCTTTTTAGAGTGGGGTCTCCCAGGCTTCTCCTTGGTGTTCCTGCTTGGGGATCACTGCTGCTAGCTGACTGGACCTCCCCAACAGAAGTTTGTGATTCTGCTTTGGCGAAGTTTCATTGACTAGTAGAACTCATTCTGTTTTAGTGCATATTTCAATATAAATGTAAACATTTCACTCAAACTTGCTTATGTCTTTCTGTCTCCTTTATCAGAGTCTGGATTCCAGTGGGGGAAAAAGGGGATGCTTCCCCTCCCCCCCCCCCAACCTTATCACAAGCACATTGGATACTTAGAACATCCTGCCGCTTTTCCAGGGAACTGAATGTACTGGGCTGACTGTCCTCACATCTCAGGGTTGAAGGAGGGAAGGATGGGATGAGCAGATTCGGGGAACCCTAACTAGACACCTGGGGAAGTTGTCAAAGGAAGTATTTCAGATTGCTTATGCGTATCTGTCAGTTAAAAAGAACTGATTCTTAAACTGTTAAACTAACCTCCTGGTCCTTTTTCCTAATTTCAATCTTCAGAATTTATTCACATTAAATTTGTAATTTCCACTGTTTCTCACTCTATTCCTCACACTAATAATCATCAGTTTCCTTTTTTACACTTTAGAGTAACTCTTTCTACTCTTCCCCTCCCCGCCCCAGCATGCACTTGAGTACTTCAAATTAATTGGACTCTTCTGAGTTCTTGTGCCATCTAGGGAGAAAGTCCTACTAATATTATGTAGGTGTATCCATCCCCTTTCTGCTGTTGGCTGAGAGGCCCAGGGAGAGATGGATGGTATCCATCTAAGACGTCCTATAATTTTGGTGCCTGAGCTGGGATTTGAACCCAGCTTTAAAACCGGATTTCAGAGTCCTTGCCTTCACTACTCATCCAATCTGGGCTGTCTTTCTAGTTGTAGATTCTGATTCAGTGAGTTATGATGGATACATTCCTAGTTTCCCTTCAGTTGAAGGTCCTGGGAATGAAGCGAGCATCTTCTCACCTGGACCAAGCCAGCAGCTTCCTTCAGAACTTTCTGCAGCTGGTATACTCTGTTAACCTTCTGTCCTCCACACAGCCACATGATTATTAGAATTTATTTAAAGTTTGTTACCTAGCCATCTTGCTTTCTACCTGAAACCAGCAGTAGAGTGAAATTGTGTTTATGGAGCAAGAATTTGTGGTGGTACACATGAAGGGGTTCAAAGACTGCTTCGCTGTTAACATGTCCATTAAGTTCAGACTGACAGGAAGACACTTGGGTAAATGAAGTTTAAGATCTAAAGGAAACAGGAAACTAAGTATAATCAAGTGGCAAAAAGATAATTAAAATCGAAAGTTACCAGCTTCCATGTGCTGAGGAGGGGGGGGTGGGGACCACAAGGGTAGATGAAAACATTGAGGGTTCATTCATACAGAGACGTTAAGAAAGCACAGCTGCCTCCTCGCAGTCGCCCTTTACCTGTGAGTCCGGACTGTTTGAGCAGGTGGGTTAGGCTGGCTGTGTGCTGTAGACCACCTCATCTGAGCTGGGTGAACGGCATCAGTGGCCTCAGGCCCATAACATGTGACCACAGAGTTCAGGACAGGAACCTTGAGCATGGACTCCGCTCTCACGTTGCATCTTTGCCTCCCAGTCTAAACCAGCCTGACCCAAGTATGACCTCTTTACAGTAATGATCGTAGAACAAGGGTCAGTTACTCAACCGGGCCATCAGGACCCAACCTGATGACTAGCGACCAACCACGCCGGCAGTAATTACAGCAGATGCCTATGCCACTAAAATGTTTCTTAGCAGCTGCAAGCTTCTGTGGTTTTTTTTGTACCATCCACTTTATCACTCTTCACCACAGTGATGCTACTGAGTTAAACTGGTTCAGTCCTGGAAGAGAAGAGAATATGAAGATCCCAAGATACTTCTGTTTTTCTAGTCATCTTCCTCCCCTGTCTAATCACACCAGGTTCTTCTCTACCTTGTCCTCCCCTGGAGGCTTTGCCTTTGTCAGGAGCTCACTGGTTCCCTTGAAGTCACAGGCAGTAGTGAAAGCAGCCCAGGCCCTTTGTCAAGCGCATCCAAACTACTAGTCAGGTGAACATCACTGGCCGGGGACAAGTGGGTAGGAGGGAAGCCTCCCTCGCCAGCACCCACTTGGGGAAAAACGACAAAACCAGCAGGAGAGTCCCATCTACTTTTCTCCTGTCATTGCAGGGGTGAAATCTTCACTCAGCAACGTATTTTTACATAGCCATGAGGCAAAGTTCTTCGATGTTTGATAAACACATTGTCTATCTTCTACTCTGGCCTGATTTTATACTATTGCTTTTATGTTCTCAAAAGACATTTTGCAAACTGCTCAAGCTTTGACCTTCGTGACACGTCAGTGTACTGTGGTAAGCTCATCAATAACTAGCAGTCGAAGCCGTTAGATAGAACATCCGATGCCCTCCATGACTTGACCCTCTTCAATGCGTATCCTCCCACCCCTTTGAACCTTTGTGCCAATAGCACTGAACTTTGAGTCTATGACTTTGCTCTAAGTCAAGACCCCTTGTCTGGAAAATGCTCCTATTCCTTTGCTAGACCATCTTCTATTCATCTTTTCAGATCCC